TGATTACTTCTCTGGACTCATAGTTCCTCTGCTGCACGCACTTCTGCAAAACGCTCTGTTGTTGTTGAAGCCATGCGGAGTACCTCGGGCTAAATGTTACCTTCCACTTCTCTAGATATACTTTCTATGATCACAACCCTCGCCCACACCCTCTTTTACAAAGAAGGCGCTTTCCGCTTTTTACTTTTTTACTGCATAAAACGAAGTCTGTTAGTATTTGATTGAGTACCAACACCTGCCAAAGCTGTTCCTGACACCTTTGGGTCCTCAATCAGGTGGCCGAGCGATCTCTTTCCGGTATCCATCAGCGCTTGATATTTTCCTACAAAGACTCGAAGTCTCCAATACCGTGTAGATCACGTACTAATCTCGAAATCTCTTCCAAACGATGTTTTATGAAGTTTTAAACAATTCCAGAAAAATAGCCATTTGGCCTTTGACCTTTGACCTGCGACAGACACACACGCACACAAACAAACGAATTTCCGTTTTTTGACCACTTTTTTTCGACATGACCCTCCTTACAGTTGAGGGAATTATTTCGTTTTTTCTCGATAATAAAATATCAAACTTGAAACAGAAATTACTTTTACACCAATTGACTAAACAGTTGAATTTTTCTTTAATCTGCAATGAAACACCCCCTTTTCATTTCCTTAGTTTTGTCTAAATCAAATGTCCTATACTCATACCAAATAATTTCCTTCAAACAATACTCACATAGAATGTTTCCTGCATTTGTCAATCAACAATATCAAACAAAAATATGACGTACAAATCATTATTATGATGCTTCTAACAGATCGATCGTATTTCACATTTTTAATCCCGCAAGAGATTACGCTGAAAGCTTTTTATTCGTATTTAAACTAAAAATTCAGATATATTATATGTTTATTCATAGAAATAATCTGTATTTCTTTATTAATCAGTATTAAAATAAATGTGGAAACTTCGAATTTTATCCAAGAGTTATGTGTACTGCAAAAAGTGTATGAGATATAGATCATCTAAGACAGATCTAGACAATTTGAGACCTTTTTCAAGCATTATTTCATTAGGAAACTGCGATTTGACTCAAAACCAATAGCAGATTCGGAACCAGAGTTAAAAACTGAGTCGATTCATGTATGTTTTCAATAATTTTGAGAAAAAAAACATTTTCAAAAAACCTTGCATCTCTCCCCTCAACCAAGATATTGATGAGACAATTACGTGCACAAAGTCTCAGCTCAATCGAATGTGGTTGTGAAGAGTTATCGTGTAAACAGCCGGACGGACACACAAACCGATTATAGTAGTTGTGACAATCTCTCTGACGTGCGCTGTACGCGTGATACGGTCTTTCTCATCTGATGGATTATTCTGATGATGTCCTTAGTTCAGTACATTTTTATGTACTTTAACATCATATTCTCTTGCGTTCTCTTTTATGGACGAGTATAGAAACGCGTGTTTTGTATCAGAGTAATGCGATTTACGGAGAAGAAATAAATAAAGGCGTAGTTCCATCAGCGCATACATCTCTTACAACAAAAACTGTCGCAGTAGTGTACTCACTTTTTGAGAATATTAAAAATGATGAAGTAATGCTAGTGTGCTGCCAGTTATATTCTTTCGTCTATCCATTCAAGGATGTTAATATTCATTAGATTAAACTTCTATATTTAACTTAAATTTGATTAAAACTTTTCAACCGACAGTCTGTCATCCCAAATCATTATGTGAATGGCAGCGACATAAATTCAATGATGTCTAATTACAAAACAAATTCCCCTTTCATTCACAAAGATACCCCGTGAAAATAACATAAGAAGAAATTTCAATCTCTGTCAATGAGAATATGACTATTCTTTGTTTCTATTCAAGTTGATACACACCATAGAAGAAGATATACTCTTCCTTGAATATGACGGATTTACAATTACAAGCCAACTATATTAATTATATAGGAATGATGTTTATTAGATGTTATTCTTACTCGATCATACCTCTTGGTCTTATTGGTCATTCATTCAATGTTTATATATTTACTCGTCCTTCATTACGATCGAATCCGTGTGTTATGTACTTTTTATCTGCAACTATTTTTGGACTTTTAATTACGTGTTTTAATTTACCTATGAGATTAATTCAATCTGCATATATAGGAACAGATCCTGGAGTATATTCTAGTATTATATGTAAATTGATATGGTTTCTTCTAAATTCAATAAGGTATGTACAAATCACGTATTAATGTATACTGAGAAATGTTCACTTTTTTTGCTAATAGAATCTCATAAAAATAGGTTAATTAGAATTCTATAATATATTTTGTTTCTCCAGAGCATCATGCGTTTGGTTAATTGTTCTGGCTTGTGCTGATCGATATTTTTGTAGTTCAACATCGACTAATCAAAGAGCATGGAGTAATATCCGTGTGGCCATTCGATCTATTTCATTTACTATTCTACTCTGCTTTATTGTTTATATTCATGTGCCTATCTTTTTCAAAGTCAATACTATTCCAGCCACTAACCAAACTGTGTGTTATCCTTCAGGTCCACCAGGAACGTATCGTCTATTTTTGTCATATTTCAATCTAATTTTCTTTGGTTTGTCTCCATCTTTGAGCATGTGTACTTTTGCTATGCTCATGATGCGAAATATAAAGAAATGCAGACAACTGCGTGTATCAACTTTAACTAATGTAAATAACGTAGTTAATAAGAACAGACAACAAATAGATAGACAAATGATTCGAATGTTACTTATTCAAATACTTGTCTATAGTGTAGCAGGTATTGCATTTTCTGTTGCATGGATCGTCCTCGCAATGAGCTCGACTCAATCAAAAAATATTGTTCAGGTTGCTCAAGAAAATTTGATTAATGCGATCGTCGGCATGTGTTCCAATACGGGTCCTTGCTTAAGCTTTTATCTTTTCACATTATCAAGTAAACTTTTTCGTAAAGAGCTGAACAATCTTTTCAATAGATTTATCAAGAAAAATAACCAGTTAAATGCTGATCAAGACTATGGCAGAGCAGTAACTATAACAAAACCTTATTTAACTGTAAAATAGGTGATCAGTTGATTGTTGTGATGAGCTATATCTCTTAATCATTTTATGTTTGATGTTGTGTTGTTTGTTAACTTGTTCATATACATAATATAATCTTTTGTGTCTTTATTTTCCATTTATATCAATACCGGTTGTTATGGTGTGTGGGCGTTCTCTACAGTCTAAAAAAAGGTGTGAGGGTGAGGGTTAAGAACAAAACTACAACAATCCGGATTTTGTCTGAATTTCACAGACTCATCAGGTGGTTAGAAATCTGCATAATCAAATCGGGGATCGAAAATTCTAAAAGAACATTAATGTAAATAGGTAACTTACATACCCATGTAAAAAAAAGTGGAAAAAAACTACTTATTTTCTCTATTTATTGTAATAAAGTAGAATTAGTACTTTTTTGCACTATTTTACACTATCTTAAGTAAAAATACATACTATTTTTTACTTTTCGAAGTATCTTTACTTTCTTACTTCGAAGTACTTAGGTTTAATTTTTAATACTTATTGAAGTATTCTGAATTACTTTATTTACTTCTTAAAGTACTTTTAAATACTTTTTTCAATTATATATTTACTTCATAGTACTTAAAAATTTTACAAAGTACTTATAAGTAATTCTGAGACTTTTTGATTTATGTTAAATATACTTTCTGACTTTCATTAATACTTTTTAGTACTTTTAGCCATTTGAAAGTAAAGTGTACTACTTTTTGCTAATTATTAAAGTACTTTATATTACTTTCAATAGTAAGAACAGTACTTTATTCTGTAGTTTACTTTTAAAAGTACTTTCTAATACTTTTGCTATTTATAAATTTACTTAAAGATAGTTTAAATTTTTTTCAAAGTACCATTAAGTAATTTTCAGACTTTCAGTATTATTTTCACATATTTTGTGACTTTCACTAGTACTTTTTAGTACTTTTCTGTATATTAAAATGTAGCTATTAACTTTTTATTGTTTCTTAAAGTACTTTATAGTACCTTTGGTAATATGAAAAGTATCTCATACTATAATCTACTTTTGAAAGTATTTTGTATTAAATTTTAGACTTTCATTAGTATCTTTTAGTACTTTTATTCATTTTGAAGTGTAATTATTCACTTTTTGTTATTAATTGAAGTACTTTATATTATTTTTAGCGAACAGGAAATTTTTTTCATAATCTAACTTACTTTTGAAAGTATTCTATATTAAACTCTAGACTTATATTAATACTTTATTGTACTTTTATTGGTTTCAAAGAGAGCTTAACCACTTTTGCTATTGGTTAAAGTCCTCTATATTACTACTAGAGGGAGTACCCGCTGCAAGTAAGAAATATTTATGTCGAACATCTCACGTGTTGAAGAGTTATAACAGATAGAAAATGAATACAATTAAAATTTCTACGCTTCCACTCCTTATTTTTCCCACAGTGCATCGCATGAAATGGCAGTTCCGGCTATATCTCTTTATGCAAAAGAGTTACCGAAGCTAATTTCTGCCTCAGAAATCGTGAAAAGTTCCTCTTTCTCTGATATTCATTTTCCACTCCAGCTATTACTCATCGACCTCTTTCTCGATCTCACGTCATTTCATCCGTTATATCCTTCGAATTCACCTACCCTCATCATTTATCTTAATCTTTTGAGATCCTGTAACACTATTGGTGAGTTTCGCAGGCTATCTGTAGCATGTACTGAACTATCATAGGCGTAGAGAACACGTGGATTGATGTCTTTGAGCGCTCAGACGGCCTTCGGCCGCCTTCGCTATTAATTTTCTCAATTTTGGAAANCTATTAATTTTCTCAATTTTGGAAATGTCGCATTCCTATTGGTCCGTTTCATATATTGCCTGCAGCAAACGGCTGGAAGCTTTGTGGAAAGTTTCACGCCGATAGCTACTACAGGGACTGAATGCATAGCGAACAAACAGACAGACAGACAAACTTTCTTCTTTATATATGTCGTATCGAAGTTATATATTTATCGAAGTTAACTTCGACAGAGCAAATTTTTGTCGAAGTATGCACTAGTTGGACGCCTTCACCCTCAACTTCGATATCGAAGTATTAACTTCGACAAAAAGCTAACTTCGATACGACATATATATAGATTGAAAACATCTTATTATTTCAAATATTTGAAATTAGAAAAGATCGATTGCTGACGAAGCAAGAGTTGAGATTAGCAAATTAATTTATATCATCGTTATATAGATTCATTTGTTTTACATCGCATGTATACGGAGAAGGAAAGAAAAGAAAGAAAGCAAAAGAGCAACATAAGAAAGTGCTTCGTCATTTAAAATTTACCTTAATACACACATACCTGAAGAGTATTTCTTGTTTTGCGTATACTTACGTCGTGAAAAGGAGACGGTAAAAATGTGCTGCATCCCATGGTAATGTCGTTCTTCGTTTAGTTTTCGCTTATATGGCGTAGACCGATTAGCAACCATTTTATATTTTGCTCTTCGTGTTGTTGTGCGTTATATAAGCATGTATACGAAGAAGAAAAAAAAAGAAAGAAAGCAAAAGAGCAACATAAGAAACTACGTCGTCGTTTAATATTTAAGGTGCAGGCAATGCAAACGTCGAGTAACATACTTTTTGCCAGTTTTTTGGATGGTCTAATGCAGTTTTTGCTCCTGATTACGAATATCTACTTTTTAGCCTTAGCGAAATGGTCCTTCTGATCGAAAGAATCGAGGTAATCAGCATAAACTGGTTTTTCAGTAATGGACCTTTTCACGAAATACGCAAAAATGTTTGTTATCCCGTATATTTTCTATTCTCAAACTAATTTTCCTGATTCGACATCATCAACTAAATCTAAATCCATTTTCAGATCGGCTTTACCCTCCAAATTGTTTTCATGGTGAGCTTTTAAATTGCACTGCTTTCACCGCGTAAACGCTGATTTTATAAAAGCCATTTCCTTTTTCCGTCTGAATTAGGGGTGGGACTTTAACTTTGCCTTAAATCTTAAAGTATAAAGTAAAACGTTAACTTTAAAAATTAAAGTTAAAGTAAAATACTTGGTACTTGTAATTTATGCAGCCAGCACAACCACCCAACTTTCTGAAATATCATGACGACGTTTCCCACAACCACCCAAAACTTGATGAGTTATGTTCAGAATCGGCCACACTCACCCACTTTATAAGAGATTTAACGAAAATAAATCCTCACCAAACAGCAAAAAATCGACTTCTTCAACACAACCACCCGAAATCGCTCCTAAAGTCTTCAAATGCACCATTGTGGGCTCCCACAAAACTATCTGATCTATTAATCTGTCTACAATTGAATGAGTTTTACAAAGATATTAATGTCAAGAACATCTTATTTTATCATTGAAAAAATCACAAAATATTTATATTTATCAAATGGAGGAACATCGGTATTTTTACAATAACTCACGATTGGAAAGAGATAGAGATGTGCGGTTTTCACCATTACATTCGGAGTGGTGTGCCGCAGTACGCCATATAAACTTTGTCTTATTCCAGTTAATCCAGTTGATCGTTCATTAACATCATAACAAGAAACACCATTTCTGAAAACAGACGTGCAGGGACTACACATTTCTATTTACTTATTGAACATAGTTAAGTGTCCTGTTTTGATCTATATTAACTGATCCTCTTGATCACACTCCGTCTATAATATATCTATCTCTTTAAAGACCGTATTCTGAGCGAATAGGCATAGGAGTAGTCCATTATCACAATTCCTTGTATTGGTCAGTGTACGATCCGGGATGCAGTCTCACTCGTTTATATCAAAGCTAGTATCACCAGGTATGATGCTATAGTTTGACTATAAGTGAAAACTAACGTGTTGCCTGGAGCCAGCCAAATACGTTATTCCTATCACAAGATGCTTCTCACTGCTTCATCTTTCGTTAGGAGATATCTGGTACAGTGTTACGCGGAACACTACTCCGAATGTAATGGTGAAAACCGCACATCTCTATCTCTTTCCAATCGTGAGTTATTGTAAAAATACCGATGTTCCTCCATTTGATAAATATAAATATTTTGTGATTTTTTCAATGATAAAATAAGATGTTCTTGACATTAATATCTTTGTAAAACTCATTCAATTGTAGACAGATTAATAGATCAGATAGTTCTGTGGGTGGTTGTGGGAACTAAGAATGACGTTTGTGAAGACTATAAGAAAGATTTTGGCTGGTTGTGTTTATGAGGAGAGCTATCTGGATCGACTTCATACGTTTCCCGAAAAATTTCTTATGAAAAAACTTGACGTAAGCACCGCACTTTCCTTTTCAAAAAAATGTAGATTATGTAATTCTGCGAGTGGTTGTGGGCGCCCACAACGGTGCATTTGAAGACTTTCAGAGAGATTTCGGATGGTTGTGTTGAAGAAGTCGATTTTTTGCTGTTTGGTGAGGATTTATTTTCGTTAAATCTCTTATAAAGTGGGTGAGTGTGGCCGATTCTGAACATAACTCATCAAGTTGTGGGTGGTTGTGGGAAACGTCGTCATGATATTTCAGAAAGTTGGGTGGTTGTGCTGGTTGCATAAATTATAAGTACCCCTTTTTTGCCTATATTATGACGAGCAGAATGACATAAAATTATAGAAATGATGTACTAGGTGGGACTACATAGGTTTTGGGTGAAGATCAGTTGATTTTGACTAAAAATCCTTCGCGTGGGGACAAGGTTTGTATAGAAAAATTTCACCGAAATATATTGAATTTGGTATCGGTAGATGCAGCTCATCACGTCGGATCGAACCAGACTATTTTCAAATGATTTTCGTTGAAAAACCGACTGAAAAGTAGTAAATTTTCTAAAAGAAACATCCCTTTTTTATATGTAAAAAACAGGACTTTTCCTCAATTTTTTTTCAGTTTTTCAGATTTTTCACCTATAAAAACGCTTCAAAAATTGTTTTCGTATATACAGTTTTGTAGCGCTCGACGAGCTCTATGGATCCATGTAAAAAATGGACAGAAAAAATTTGCTCGACTTTTAAATTTGGTGC